TTACTAATTGAAATTGAAACATTTGGTTTTATGTTCTATGAGGTAGAAAATACAATGATACAGAGGAAGATTTAAAACAGTCACATACGTGGTGTGTTCAAAAAGCAAGGCGACTTTTGTAATTATTGATTTTTTTTTGTTATGCTTGTACACAAAGACGCGGATGACGAACCTCGCTCTGGACGCCTCAATAACTGATGAAAGCGTTGAAGAGGTGAAAGAAATGGTTGCTATTAGAGAAGTGACTGAAGACGTCGGCATCTTCATTGGCTCATGGCACGCATTTTTTTTTTTCGAAGTTTTGGTCATGAAACGTGTAGCAGCGAAATTCCTTTCGAAACTGCGTAATTTTAAACAAAAAGACCGTCGAAGGGGATCTCTCAATGTCATAAACGCAGGAACCCAAAATAGCCAAGTCCGAAAAAAAGCAATTCAAGTTCGATTAAATTTCAAGGTTTTCCTTACTGTTTTCTTTGATTATCGTGGCATAGTACATCAAGATCGTACGGTCAATAAAAAGTATTACCTTGGTTATGTGCCATTTGCGAGAAGCAATACGAAGAAAATGTTTCACGGATAATGCACCTGCTCACTCATCATTGCTTGTGTCTAACTTTTTGCCCAAAAACAAAACCACAATCATGCCTCGGCCACCATATTCACCGGATATGGGGCCTTGCGACTTTTTCCTGGTTCCAAAACTCAAGAAACCCATTAAAGGAAGGAAGGAAAATCGCCGGAAGAACCCACGGCTATACCGGAAAGTGCTTACCAGAAGTGCTTCTAGGATTGGCAAAAACGTTGTCACAAGTGTATTATGTCTGGGAAGGAGACAACATCAATACTGCTGAATAAATAAATACTTTTTCACAAAACTTATATCATTTACCTTTTGAACATACCTCGTACATATTGTTTTTTAATGTTGGTGCCATAACAATGACACTGTTATCATATAAGTGGCATTTTTTTTAGTTTGATCATAGAAATAAGAATTTATTAGGAAGTTTAAATCATTTAATGCGACAAAAAAAATTAAGAATTCATAGATACATTTTTGAAACGGACATGAGACGGTTGACATATTACACGTTCTCTCTATTTTATAAAAAATATGACGAAATATGTAGATAGTCATCTAATTAACACAAAAATTTCATTAATAGATTATGAATTAATCACCAGTGAGAACAAACAATACAAGACATAAAGAATCAAAGTTACAACAGAATGTTACGCCAAACTCCGTTATGTAGTCATACCTAGGTTTGTCTAGGCAAAGCAAGCATTGCCGGCCACTTTAGGCAAAGCCCGAAATTATTAAAATAAATTTTCAATACCGACGTCTTAAACGTTACAATCCGTTACTTGTTGGAGGCATTAAAAATCTAATTTTGGCATTGTCTGAGCAAATTACTGAAGTGAAATACTTTGCGTCCAATGAAGAATTATTTGAAGTACTAGATAACGCTCACAAGGAATGTGGTCGTGCTGGAAAAGATAGAACTATGTGAAGCCTCTTACAAGACGAAGCATAAAAAAAGGGAATAACCGTAAAACCGTTGCTATTTCGAGAAGTGAATTCTGGAGGACATGTGCAGGCTTGCCCTGATGGTGATTTCAAATATATCTTTAATTATCAGGATCATCTTTCGAAATATAAAAGTGTCACCATTCGACATCTTGTACTAATACGTGACGTAATTAACGTTTTTAACTGTTTTAACTTATCAACTGTTATAATTTGTACTCTGCAAAAAGCAGGAGCCCTAATTCCACCCAAAGAGACTTCTCTTTTTTGTTGGCAAGTACCTATTCTTTGGTGGTAAGTGACATACATAAACAATACAAGGTGTATTAGTAATACAATAAATTATTATTACAAATTCCTTTTCCTTCTATCGCAAACTGTGCCTTATACTAGTACAACAACAGTACGCACAGTGTAGGCAATGTCCGAAATATGGAATAATTCCGGATTTTGCCTAAAGTGGCCCGGAAATGCGGACTTTGCCTAGGCAAAGCTAGGTATGACAGGTATAGAGTTCAAATGGTTAAGAAAATCTGAAAGGGATTTTTAACAGTAAGGTCAAACAAGAAAAGTATCATAGCATTTTCATAGCTTTGGCTTTATTTATATGGATGTTATCTGAGACAATGTTCGAGCGACGCATTTATGGGTTTACCCGGTATATAACACCAGGTACGAACGCGATAATTACTTTCTAGGGACGGGGTAAGCAAAAGGTCAAGACGGTACACTTTGGGACACACTTTACTCGCTAGTGGCTTACAAATGGTTTGTTCACGGTTGCTCTTAACGGGGCGAAACCCGAAGATAGGCATCGGATGTTTGCCCTTATAAATCAGGATTCCCGATAATAAACGTTAACTCTCCACCGCTGACGTTATTAAGATGTCGCTGTGAGATGCCCCAGCGTTTTTATTTATTTAGGTGCTCGGCGATCTTGGTGATCGTGAAACCAGAGCGCAGGTATAAGGATCCGACGGGAAGAAATATATTATTGCCCAGTTTCACGAAACCGTGGAAATAACAACTAATGAATTTATCGGGATCAAGACGCTCACTCGCTATACGACTAAATCGCGTTCTTTGCGGGTCAATTTAGGGGTCGTCCATGGGCGTAGACGTCGTCTACACGGTGTGCGCATTAGTATTGTGGCGCCGCTAACGTTGCAGTTGTGAAGTCCAGTGAAGACTGAACATTTCTTGTACTATTAGGTCTCCATACAAAGATATGAATTAATCCATTCTGTATAACGAATTTCTCACTCTTTATACCGAAAGAAAAAAGGACACGCTTAGTGAATACGGCGAGCATGGCGAGTAAGCGACAAAGTTGTTTTAATTCGGTAGATAGAACGATTTGGAAGTGCTGAAGCGGCAGGCAGTTCCAGTAAAAAACTAAGAAAGCAAAAATTTTAAGATTTGCATCGGGCAATGTTGCAGTGGTTCCAATAACATCTTAAAAATGTACCGCTCTCTGTACCTATCTTAAAACTAAAAGCAGAAAGGTTTGCTGAACAGCTTGCATTATCGATTTCAAGGCTTCGGAAGGATGGTTGGGGAAGTTCAAACGGAGACGTGGTATAAACTATGGATAGATAAGTGACGAAGCCCGTGATGTCGACAGAAACGTCACTAAGGATTAGCTGCCTACAACAGCAGACTTGACAGATGAAGCCATATTACAACAAGCAAGAAAGGGCGAGGAAGAGCACCAAGAGGAAGAAGACGATATTCAGTTAAGCTGCTAGAGAAGTTTACAGGTACCGTATTTATCTTACAAGTAAGTTTTTTTTTCTTTTTTTGCGTCTTCTACATTGTTCTTCGATTTGTAAAGAATAATCATTTAAAGAATATATATTATATTCGTGGTTCTGAAATCTTGAAATTTTCGAAGTATCATTATATATTTAATCCGACTGAGATGATTTGGTCTGAGTTGAAAGCGCATATAAGAAGAATTAACGCAATTCTGCAAGAGTTAGCTAAATTATCGGTACAAAGCTGGTCTAGCTGTGAAAAACCAGTAATAAAAGAAGAAAATATTTATCGAGAACGATTAGCGGCGGAGTTGATCATGGATCTAGGTGACGACAGTAGTGATAGTGACGATTTTTTAAGCGGCTGATACTTTATTATTATTATATTTAATATTTTGTATATTAATGATGATACTATGTAGAAATGCAATTAAATAGAACGTAATAGATTGTTACTTTATAATATTTTTTTTATGTACATTGTCCCAGTGTCTATTGTCCTTTCAGCTCCCGTCTTATTTCCGTGTTTCTTATTTTGGCCTTGAATACATTTGTTTTTGTTTTTGTTGATATTTGTTTTTTACTTATGAAGTTTTCATTCATTACAAGGTACAGTTTTAATTTTTTTTTATTTTGTTGTTAATCTCTTTTTCCTGTTTTCCGTTGTTCTCTATTTCTAGTCCTAAGTAATTGAAATTTGTTTTATATAGTTTCATTTCGTTCGTTCATTTCCTATCACCATCACTTTTTGCCTTAGTTTTATTTAGCTTGCTTCCAGGACCAGAGCATTATCTTTATCTCTATCTCTATCAAACACTCCTTTAGATACATGGCTTAGTCCTCCATGTCTTAATCCTGCTTTGGTTGCGAGTGGCCCTGAAATTTTATTTTGGTATATTACGTAGTTAACATTTTCTTTGTATTTATCTTTCAACACCCTTATCATTGTGTTTTGGATTATTCTTTTAAAGAGAATTTTTAATAGTAATTATTACAGTCCAATTTATCCCATTTGGGGTTAATTAAAGATGTTTTCCAATCTTGAGGTGTGCATTCTTCGGTCCGCATTTGATTGTGTAATTTGACAAGGATTTTCATTCCCAACGTTTTTCGGCGCCTTCTTGTCATATATTCATCATTTTCATTCAATTCATCAATTTGTGACGTGAAATTCATTTTATCTTTTCTGAGTGATTCGGTCGTACAAGTCCCTAACTGTTTTCCTCTCTATCTTTGATCTCTTCCGACCACCAAGTTGTTGTTTCTATTGATGTTTTTTCTACTATTTCCACAGATGTAATTGGTAATATCTGGGGTGTCACAAAATCCAAAGCTCCGGATAACATCTCGTATTTCCAAAATCAAATAGGCTATAGCAACTCTTTTGTTTCTCAGAAGATTAGGAAAACCGCATCTCTCTAACTTTACTAACAAGTGAGACTTTTTCATAGTTGTGGATCAAACAATAAACGTCAAAGGCAAAATCATCGGTCCTCGCAACGGCGATCTAATTCAAAGCAATTAAGGCGTCAGTCTACTGTAACGTGTAAATATCCGGATCATCCAAAGCAAACGGCTATCGCCGCTTACGTTAAAATTAAATTTACGAACGCAAACGTTATCACATTTATGATTAATGTACTCAAAATGGTCAACGTTTTAACCGGTAAGTGCATAAATATAGAGAATGACCACTTAAGATGTTTACATACCTTTAAAAGTCGTTTTACTACGTGTAGCAGTAAATCGTCTTTATGATTTTCACTGAATATAGACATCAGGTCTTGCGAGCTCCACGTTGCCGACGGAACAGGAACCCAAGTGCGTTTAGAAGATGACAAAAACCTGAAAGAAGTTTTGTTAAATTACGTTTAATCACATTTTATTTTTCATTATGTTTCATTATACCGGATGTCCCCGTTGGGACGACGAGGTACGGTAATGGGGAAATGGGTATTAATAAAAATTAGGAAATGGTATATTACGCAATTATTTGGCAACGAGCGGAGCGAGTGTTTAATAAAATAAAATAAAAAGTTTACGCTATCGAGTACCCGCCATATTGTGTTTTTTGATATAACGGCAAACAATTAATTTTCTAAAAAAAGTAGAGTATAATTGTTAAATATTGATTCTGTTACTAATCAACAACTGGAATATTTAATGTTCAAGCCTAAAATCTCCAACAGGAGCTATGCTTTTTATGGTTTTTATAGGCCACCAAAACTAAATTTTAATACTGTGTTCTCCGATTTTTGATAATATTTCTTCCTACCTTTAACCCACTGTCGATGAGATCTTTTGCCTTAATATTAATTTAATGATTGTCCAGAATCCTTTCGTGCGATTATTTGAAAATTATAAATTTGTGCAGATTATTGACGAGCCTACGCGCATTTTTGACGCTTAATTGATGCTATTTTTGTTACTAACACATCTTTAATATTCCGGGTCAGGGGTAGGACCAGCTGGTAGCAAAGCGGGTAAAAATCATCATCGATCAAATACAGTTCGACTGGATATGCTATAAACATCAAAGAAATATTGCATTAGCATCAATAAGAAAAGAAAGGAAGCAATATCTTTGACTCGTTTAAAAACAATTCCAAAAAAACTTGGTCAGCTCTAAAAATTTCCAATACATGCGGCACAAAATTTAACATTTATCAGAAACTAACGAAATTACTAACCTTTTTTCAACATACCTACAAAATAAGTCAAACTGTGCAGCAAAAATAAACTTTTATAATAAGAATTTCTATAAGAACCATTTAAATTTCTCGTTTAAAATGCACGGCCAACAAAATTCTTAATAATATTAAAACTAACGTATGTATGTTGAAATACTGTAGCCCTTTTATTGATAAATCATAAATTGTTGCATTGAAACAAGCTACTTTCCAGTGCAATGGAAAGTTTCTGTTGGTAAACCGCTACATCAAACACATCAAATCCCCTAAATTATAATGACATTCGTATTATAAGTTTTCTTTCGGTTTTGTCGTAGTTCGTCGCGTTTTCTGAGTCAGCCGGTATATAAAACGTCTGGAAAAAATTCAAAATAAGTTTATAAAATTTTATATCAATCAAATTAAGTATAGATAATCCTATGAACAATATTCCACCGGCTCCACAACACGTGGGGTGCAGAGAAGAAAGGTTTCTGAAAGTAAACTCTGCAAAAAATTCACTGTTAGGCCAAATTCGAAGAAGTGCCAACTGGCCCCGTTGATGTTTTCTCAGTGTCCACTGTAAAAGTTAAACAAATTTTAAAAAGTGAACAGCTTGAATAACGTTGATAATATTGATTATTAAAACAATTTGTTACAGGCAATATTTCAATTTTTAACTTTAACTACATTTTTACAGTATTGTAGGTGTAATCTTGTGGATAGATGGGTGCAAAACCTATTGTACGCCTGTTGATCACCAAAGAAATAAAGTATTATATCGATGAGAAATCCATACTTCTCTGGGGTGAGGTTGAACCGAAAAGTCATTGATAAATCAAAGTAAATCCAAAATTCTTTTTAATTATTTCATGCTGAGCATCGAAAAGGGATTTGGATTGTATTTTTCGCCACAATGTGTTGCCATTTTATCGTTAAAGACCATAATTGAAGTGTTCTTAAAATGCGTCGCTTTGCAAGCTGCCATTCAGCTGGAAATCGGGTGTATTAAAATTGATTCCAAATGGAAACTAAAGAGATTATTGGGAATTGAGGTTTCGGTGTTATTGCATTGCAGGCCGACGTGGCCAACGGTATCGTTTTGACTAATGAACTATATAAGCTGCCTGTAAGCCTTTCCTTCTATGCTATCCTGCAGCATTAGAACTATTAATAGCAAAGATTACTCTTTAATGGCGAATACCTAATTGGTTTCACATAATTATAATCTACCGTGAAATGTGTGCACCGACCAAATGTTTCGGTACGAAGATGTCTCGTTATTCGTTTTGTGATGTAACATACTAAACAACCAATGGAATTGATTTGGTTTAATTACTAGCTGTGGGCTCTGGGGAGAACTTAACGGAATATGTGGAATTTTTACATACATGTAACTTTCTTTTATCATTTTTATTATTACTATTGTTGCTTGATACTATAATAAAACTGTCAAGCAAGGGAAAATAGATGACACAAACACAACGGAATTGTTTTAATTTTTGTAATTTTTCCAATATTTCTCCGAATAAATTGAATCGAATCACAATAAAAATGTCAATTTGGTTGTCAATTCGCCATTAAAAAGGCATATTCAATAAGCTAAAGTTCACAAATATTTCAAATTTCGATATAAATAAATAGCTTCATGGCATTAATCATTATTAACAAATTATGTTAAATTTGGTAACAAAGGGCTTATCCATGTGATTTGGTATTTCTAAATGATTGATACTTTACGTAAAGTATTTGGGTGAATGGATTTGAAAATTTTCCCTGAATTAATGAAGATATTAAATTTTTTCTCTTTCCACCACGGACGTTCAATTTAATATAAAAATTTTATATTCCTAAAAAAATAACAGACGCTGAAAAAAGGCAATTAATATATTCAAAAACGGTTAAAAGAAAACGGGCCTCTGCTTAACTGCTGGTGAACATGCAAAAATATTTGCGAAACACAATGCTTGAGAGCATAGAACCAATTACGGTAACGAGTTGCCCTGTTATGCATGTCACTACTACCCCTGACCCTTGATCAGAAAATCGGACATATCGAGGCTTCCGTATCTGGTGATTTTTGTAAGGTGTATTGGTTTTAAGTTTTCACAGGCTACCGTAATACTTTTTATAAAACTTCTGAATTAGTCCTGCGTCGGTTTTTGTCGACTCGAACTAGCTAGCTAGCTAGCTACCGACGCAGGAATCCAGAAGTTTTATAAAATGGGTCTTTATACACTTAAACCAGTTTCGGTCCGGTGTAGGACTTCTGTAGTTAATAAACCGAGCGCCGATCAAGTTGCAAATCATTTCTTCTTTTTTTATTGCGAAAAAGAGCTACTTACGTTTAAGAATCACTTATTATCAGACCACGTGCTTTTTAGATCCATGAAATCACTTAAAGATACTCATTTATACCATGAAAGATTTTTAGTTCTTCGAAAAATTTTGCGGTTGTTGTAATATCAAAATGTAAAAGCACCTTTTCACTTTTAAAATATCGCATTTCTTACGAAAAATAATCAAAATTCGCTACATACTGGAAAAGTGAATATATGAAATATTATGAAACAAAAGTACTTCTTCCTAAACAATTCTGCTCGATGAGACAGTAGGTAAGTTTGCACTAGAATATTTATATGATGGTCATAATGTCGGGGGGGGGGGGGGGGGGCGATTTTGGGACACACACAATTATAATATTTTCAATTTTCAGGAGGGTCCAAGAAACTTTTGTATTCATTTTTTCGTATTTCCTATGAGTTTCCACACCGTACGGTGGCTCGTTTTATTTGCACATGAGCGGGTTTAAAATTAACAAAAGACGTTGACTATTTATCCAAAACTGGCAACAATAATCGTAAAGGCAAACGGAAAAAATTATTACAAAAGTGAACAAGAGGAAATGGTGGGTCAAAATTTTCAAAATACAAACGCAGACCATTTCGTCATATTGATCACTGGCGAAATTTTAAGGCAGTGTTTCTGGGCAAATTAATCCTAGTTTCTTGTGTAAATTTATTTTCTCACCAAGCGGGATTTTTTAGGAAGACAAGCTGTATAATCAGCAATCAAAAATGATCGCTTATTTCTAGGTAAAAAATTGCGAATCATATGAATTATACAATTTTTCCGTGGTCTTTAGGCCTAGCCTAGCCTCAATGGACAACTGACGTGCAGTTTTAATAGAGAACTTTAATTATTTTTTTATTTCTTTAAAATATTTGTTTATCTATAGCAAGAACGCATACCAAACCCAATATTTAAGTTGCAATAAGTGACACCGTGACGTCAGACCGCTGCTTTTCGATCGATACGACGACAAGTTTTAGTGTTATTCTCAGGTTCTAGACGGAAAATTATATTATTTACGTTTATTTTTGGCTCGTGTAAACTACGCTTTTATTTATTCTACGCCAGTTTGTATTTGTGATTAGTGTATTTTACATGATAATAATGGAAGCAACACAAAAACAATATTAAAAGGCCAGATAAACTTTTTATTCGTCTACCAGAAAATAAAAACCGTCGTTAATTGTTAACATTATGTTCAGGTGTCATTTTAGCCTTAACCGTGCAAACATTTTTAACTCTTCGCAACTGCGCCCATCCTATTGCGATCCCCATACGAATGGCTTCCTGATGTATATAAAATAATGACACTTTAAGTTATCAATGGCAATATACTTTAAAATTAGTATTTAGGTTTCTACTAGTTTAAAAAAAATCCTTTTGGTTTTTTTTTATTGATAATTTTACATTTTACGTGATATTCCATTTAAATTTTAAAAACTTTAAGCTGTCACAATCTTATTATTATTTATATTGATTTATTTATTTAATATTATTTTTGGTTTAAAACTAGTGGCTAAATTTTCTATGAACATTCTTTATAGCTTTAGCACCGCGAATCTCAACAAAAGAAAATGTTTCGGTGTTTTGTATGTCAGATGTCACCGTAATCGTATCCACTGCAGGTAAATTATCAGATTGACTATTTAAAAAATCGGCTTCGGTCATTTTCAAAATTTTCTTTTCGATGCTAAACACAAGATAACAAGCCACAGGATCAAAGGCGAAAATTAAAATTAAAACCACCCAGATGAACGTTCTGTAACGGCGTCTCTACGCTATCTTCAGGCTGGCGCGTAGTCTTACGCGCGGATTGACGTCACA